TGCCAACTAATCCGGGACCATACCCCGCCCTCTGCTTCCTTCGTTGTCGGCCACATCAATATTAACAGACTAAATTCCCCCTGTCACTTTGCTCTTCTCGAAGCACAAGCCCTTTCTACACATTTTGATGTCATAGCCATTACTGAAACTTTCCTCTCACCTGATATCTCTGACTCCCACCTCTCTCTCTCCGATTTCAATTTTTTCAGGCTTGACCGAATTGGAAAGCAGGGTGGCGGCGTTGTTCTGTACGTCAGATCTCACCTTAAATTTAGCTTCCTAGCCACTTCAGATCCAGTTTTTGATAACACGCCTGAATTCATCCTAGGTGAAATAAAGTCCGACAACACCAAGCTTTTAATGGCGGTGGTTTACAGACGTCCCTCTGCTTGCTCTCCCACACATTTTTTCAACTGCTTGGCCACTTACCTCCCTCTGTACGGAAATGTCATCATCACCGGTGACTTTAACGCAGACCTAGGTTCCAGCTCTCTGCCGGATGCTCGAGCTTTGAGATCTCTCGTTGACCTGCACAACCTTCACTTCGTATCCACTGCTCCCACACATCACTGTCTTGATACAAATCCCCCTTCCCATACTACTCTTGACCTCTTCATAGTGAAAGACCCAAATGCTATCCAGGCATTTGGAAAGTCTGATACTCCTTTTATTGCTGGTCATGAATTCATCTCGCTCACCTATCGCTTCACTTCTAACAATCATATCACCAGAGTCATTAGGTCCCGCGGTTTGAATCGGGTGGACGAAGCAGCCTTAAATGGGACCCTCAGGGGCCTCCTCTGGAATCTGGTCGACATTTCTTCAACACGACTGCAGCACTCTTTCGACCCGTCGATCGAAGCCGACGTGCATCCCCTTGACAACTTGGTGCACTCTCTCACTGAAGTCCTCATAAAATTCTTTGACGAGGTAGCCCCTCTTAGGTGCATCAAGTTGTCTTCTAGGCGTAAACCCTGGGTGACTCCGAGCATTCTTGCGCTTATGAAAAAGCGTGACGCTGCCTATAAACTGGCATCCTCCTCCCGCTCGGGCAGTGACGTCACTTGATATCGAAGGCTGCGCAACGATGTCTCAAATGCCCTCGACTCTGCAAAAACTTCTTGCATTTCAGGCAGACTGTCTTCCGCAGCCACCAGCAAGGCCAGATGAAGAGAGCTACGAAACTTGGGAGTCACTAGGCGCGCTCTTCCATCCCCGTTTCAATTTTTTTCTCCAGCCGTACTAAACACCCACTTTGCCAACATAGTCAACTCATCCCCTCCATTGACACGTGACTTTTTGGACGCCCTTTTAGCGAGTCCCCCAAACGCTCCTCACGTCCACTCCCCATTCAATTTTCGTGAGGTCACTTGCCAGGAGGTCATGGATGCACTAAACTCGTCCACATCCAGAACATTCGGTCCTGATGGTTTGTCTGTCAAGATGCTTAAACTCGTCTCCTCTTCTTGTCTCTCATCTCTCACGCATCTTGTCAACAAATCATTACTGTGCGGCGTCTTCCCTACCTCCTGGAAACGGTCTCTCATCACCCCTTTTGCCAAAGTACCTTCGCCCGCTCTTTTATCGGACATGAGACCGATAGCAAGGTTATCTGAGGTATCAAAGGTGCTTGAGAGGCTCGTTCATTTACAACTCTCGTCTTACCTGGACCGCCATAAGCTGCGTGATCCACGGCAGGCGGGTTTCGTGCGGTTTCACAGCACCCAGACAGCTCTCCTGGGTGTCCTGGATGACGTCCGCAGGGCTATTGAGGAGCGTAAAATTACAATCCTCGTCCTGCTGGATTTCTCCAGGGCTTTCGACGTTATCCGCCATGGTCGTCTGATGGTCAAGCTCAGGGACCTATGCCTGTCTGATTCTGTCCTGGGATGGTTTTTTAGCTATCTGACTGACAGGTTTCAGGCTGTTATGGGGGAGGATGGCAGGGTGTCGGATTGGCTAAGGGTTGCTACTGGTGCACCGCAGGGTAGTATCCTGGGACCATTGCTATTTGCGATCTTTATCTCGGACCTGCCCTCTGTTCTCTCCTTCATGAACTATATGCTATATGCCGACGACACGCAGGTCTATCTTCACTGTCATCCTAGCAGCCTTGCAGAGGCTTTGGGGAGGGTGCAGCTTGATGTGCAGGCTATAGCGGATTGGGCACTAGGAAACGGTATCTCCCTAAACCTCACCAAGACCAAGGTCATGATACTGGGCAGCGAACAATACGTTAGGGCTACCAACTTGAATGACATCGTGAAGATCACCATCAATGAGGTTCCACTCGACTATGTTACTAGTGCTCGTAATCTGGGTGTGACACTTACTCCCACGTTAAACTGGTCCGAACATGTGAGAAGCGTGACGAGGAGGGCATACAGCTGTCTGGCTTCACTTCGTTTCCACAGGAAATCTCTCTCAACTACCCTCAGAAAAGTTCTTGTCGAGCAACTCGTTTTCCCACATTTCGATTACCTCTCAGTGGTTTGTATCCAGCTTGATGGAGAGCGCTCGTCGAAGCTTCAAGTTGCACAAAACGCCTGCGTACGCTTCGTAATAGGATGGATCCCTTTTATACCTTCTCAATCCTTAAACAGCCACATCACGCAACATAGACGAGCCCTGGGCTGGCTATCCCTCACCCCAAATAGGTATAGAGCCCTTGCCGTTCTGGCCTACTCTGTCGTGTCCAGAAAATCGCCGCACTACCTGGCTAAAAACCTGTCTGTCTTCCTCGATGGTGTCATTATCCGGCGCTGGGGTCGCGGCCCACCGTCGGCGTTTGAATACAAGGCCCCTCGAACTGAGGCATGGAACCATTCCTTTGCTATTCTTGCTGAGAGAATACTCAACTCACTGAGCGTGACCCTGTTCTCCACCGATCGGATCCCTAACTTCAGGGTTTGGACCCGTGATCTATTCTTAAACTACGAGGCTAGAGCATGGATTGTACCGGTACCGGCACTGTCCGATTACACTCGCATTCCAAACAGAGTCAATCCAGTCGCGTTCTCCCAAAATTACCCATCGTCCCACACTTACCCCGCTATCGACTTATGGTTCATGAAATAGCTAATTGAACGGTTATTTTCTGGTCAAACGCACGTCGATCCACCTTTATATCTCTCCTCTTTTCAGACCGCCCTTCTGTAAAACAAGTTCCATTCGCGTCTTTACTACTTTTGCTACTTTTATTATTTTTTACTACTTTTAGTATTTTGTTGTTCTTATTACTTTTATTATGCTCTATTACCTTTCTTGTCTTTATTATTTTATTATTATTTTTCATCTTTTATTATTGTTAATTTTGTTGTTTTATCTGATAACTCATTTACTTTGTTCTTTATATATTTTATTTTACTATATTTTCACATATTTTATTCTACTTTTAGTTTTATATATATACTCTTAGTGCTCACTGTTAACGCCATTGGAATTTCGCTGCTCACCGCATATACTACTCATGCATTTTCATGTAACTCATCTTCTTCATATAGTTAAATGCGTCACTATTTATCCTGCATCTCCTTTTTTGTCATGTTTAAATTTTGTTATTATTTTGTTATGTACATTTCCAAACTGCCAGACGGGGTTCCACCTCATTGGCGCAATAAACGAACTAATCTAATCTAATCTAATCTCTCTCTCTCTCTCTCTGTTGCCTACCTTGCTTCAGCCTACTGAAAATAAAATGACATATAATATACATTTGACTTATATTAATAAATTGGAATATGGGAGAGAGAGACATAACGAGTATCATTCATACTTGTTATAATACTCATACTCGTACTTATATTGATTTAGTTATTTCTAAGTTTCGCTACCCGGCTACTTAGAACCGGAATTATACTCTGCTAAGCATTATAAACTTGTCTTTCAATAATAAATCTTAATCAAGTGCAAACACCTGAGACTCTTTCGTAAAATCTCTTCTGAAACGCAGTCCTAACAAAGTAAGAAACTAAGGTATCCACCTAAACACACTACATATAATAAAGGCGCTATCCTTTTAACCAACCTCCGGTAACTCCTGACTATGATCCAACTTTTACTAACGCGACAGTATTTTAAACATTATTACGTCTAGCCATAACATCTCCTCGTCTAGGCATAACAATTTTATTATGATTAAAAGTCTCAAACAAATTTTCAATAATAAATTTTTAATTAAGTTTACCAATAAATAAATAAATAAACAAATAAATAAATAAATAAATAAGTGAACTTTTTTTGTAATAAAACAAAATATTACAAAAATAATATAATACTTTCAAAGTAACGAAAATATAATTTTTTATAACATAAATGGCTAACGTGAAAAAATGAAAAAAGAAAAATTGCTTCCAGATCTTACTTTTCACTTTATTTTTATATTCTTCACCATAAAAAAAAAACAACTTTTGTCATTAAAGTTTTTTTATTTAATGCATAGCAATCGAGATATAAGCTGATGAAAAAAAAAACGATTTATTTTAAAAAAAAGCTATATTTCTGTATAAAATATCTGAAATGAGTTCTGTTGCTTTTATTTTTAAGAAGAATATTCCACCACTTAATTTTGCTTGGATTTTTAGTGATTCGCTGATTTGCGTAGCAAATAAATAAATGTGTATATGGGCAAAAAAAAATAAATTTTTTATGTTCATTTTTTAAACATTAAAAACTTAATTCTAGTAAAAACAATATTATCTTCACGTTACTTAAAGCTTTTGCTATTACCTTTAAAATTGTGTCAAGTTTTTTGTTCTACGACTCTTTTTCGCTGAGATATAAAATTTTAAAGTTTGACATATTTCGCCTCAGGTTGGATAAAAGTACGTGCCGGACACTGTACATGCAAATCGAACATTGCAAGTATGTGTGTGCTATGAGCAAATATTATAATCCAAGTAGTCGACATTCGAATGTTCGCTATCGAAATTACAAAACAGTTGTTTACCAGAAGGGTAGATCGCGGGATTTAATTGTTTTGTAATTTCAAGACAATTATTTCAAACAGTATCTGTATTTAATTCGCACTCGGCTTCGATATCCATTGGCATTGGCATTGGTTCTATAATTTTTTGCAGAATCTTCTGAATGTTCTGTGGGTATTGCAAGTCCTCAACTAGGGCTGCAGTCTGTTGCGAGGCATCATTTCCATCTCGAGATTGCTAAAGCAACGAAATTTGCAACGTTTTCCAATTAGTAGGAGTCACTGATCACCGTGTTATCAAACAGTTTCATTTTTCTTGCATCATAGAAATTTCACGAAAATGACACTCAAAAAAATTTGTATTTTTTCAAAGTTGTTGCTGACAATATATTGAGTAACGGGTTTCTTATAACAATTTTAATAGTAGATTAGTCACACTGTAGTATAGCGCATAAAACGTTAATAATGGAAGTTTAAAACTCCCGTGTACATACTTACATACTTCAGCCATTTTTTCTGTCGCTCTACATTGGATGGAAAAGCAAATAATTTATGTCCTATATGGGCTCCATTACAACAGCTTCGGTAACAGCGACGATCAGAACCTGTATATCGACTCATTTTAGTGAAAAAATGTGAAACTCCGCGTAGTTCGATTGAAAATGAAAAGTAAAATTAGACACTAGAAAATTATGAATCTAGCTTACAAAAAAAATTGTTCATAAAAAACAAATAGATTAGTTTAAAAAATAAAAACCTGTTTCATCCTTGAAGTAGTTAAATGAAAAAAAAAGTACACAGTAATTTTTTTACAACTCTGCACATGAAAGCACTAAACTGAATTGAAAAATGATATTAGTTGCTCAAAACAGCACTGTGCGCATGGTAGCTCAAAACTGAACTAAGAAAACAATGTTTTTCGTTTGAAATATCCACAGAAATAGGAAAAAGAAGCGAATTTAATTTTTCATTACCAAAACGCGAGGTACAGCATAAGATAAAAAATTTTACGCGATGATAGGCGCCATTTCTTGGGAAAATTATATAAAATATCTAGCTATCACGATTACTATTGCGGGTATCTTTTCATGCAAGTAAAAATTGACTTTAGAAGAAAGCTACATTGGAGTTTGTAATTATTCTGACTTTCTGATTTTGACAACAGTTCGTGGATTCAAATGTCAATTTACGACATTTTATATACAAAGATCATTATGCGATTAGGATAGCTTTAGTTGTTATATTGCCAGTTCTGATTAACCGATTTTTGTTATTCAAATTCAATAGAGTTGATTATTTGAAGAGCTACCAGATGGAGTTACTTGCTAGCTCAATTTGCAAAATATTGATAAAATTTTTATCTGATAAAAAATGCGGGGATCGTCATAAAATTGCAGGTAGTAGCGTCTTATCGCTAACATCTGCTTGTACATTTTACAGCACATCAGGGTAAATTTTCATTTTCGATGGTACTAAGTTGTTTCAAAAAGCATTTTTCCAATTCCATACATATATATAGCCCTTTAATAACAAATTGTGCAAAATTTAAATGATAAAAAATGTTTCTATTCGCCAAAAGATAGAGAGAATGAACTGTATTTTGATTTCGAGGCGCATCGTACGAGTCTTGTGTATGCAAGAATCTATTCTCGCTACTAAAATAGAGTTTAATTGTTATATTGAAAGTTCTGATTGACCACTTTTATCATTTAAATTCGGTTGGGTTCGTTATTCGAAGTGCTAATTAAAATTAAGATCCAATATAAATTGAAACAAATTATAAGTATACTGTAATTTTAAATTTTTAATGTATATTTTAGATAAAACAAATTCAGTTGCTGTACAAATTTGAATGCTGTTAATAACTCTCGAATTAACAATAATACAATTTATTTCTACATATAAAAAAGTCTAAAAAAGTTTATTTCAATTCTCGCAAATATTTCTTACTTATTATTGCTGAATATTATAATCGAATTTACCGCCTGAACTGTGTGAAATAATCACTAGTCCTCGTCGAAAAGATTTTTCGGTGGACAGGAAATATTTTTGTCTCTCTTCTTATAATGAGAGTCCTTTTCCTCCTTCGTCTTTACCTCTCCTCTTTTAGAGTTTAACTTCCCTCTTATAAGGGAACCACCCCAACCCGACCTAACCGATTTGAATGATTTTGGGATATGTTGTAGTACTTGAAAAAAAATTAGATATGTGTTATTTTTTATCGGCCCATAAGGGCTTTTGAGGGGTGAAATCCACCCTGAAAATCAAGTCCTAAAATAAGTTTTTTTAATATTTCTCAGCATCAAATGAATATTTTTCAGTAAACTCAACGCTAAAAAATTTCTTATAAAAAGGCGCTTTTAAGAACATAACATTTATACCGAAGGATTGCAACCCCCTTTTTAATAGGGGTAAATACACTATTTTTTGTACTGTTTTACGACATGTAATATACGACATGTAATATGGAAACACGTCAAAATTAAGTTGACGTGTTTCCGGATTAAAAAAAAAATATGTTTAAGGGGTGTTTCACCCCCTAGAAACCATCCCTGTCAAACTACCAGCAGGTTAATCCACCTAACCCTGAGATAAACAAGTTTAGTCGTTTGTTATTTCTTGAAATAATTTAATCCTATGCACGAGCGATCTACCTTAACTAACCAACCTGCCTCTAACCCCTACCCTTATAAACGACCCTTACCGAACCACATGCGGGCTAACCTTATATAAATAGCGAAAAATAAATGTATTTCTTGAATAACATTCATGTTGCATAACAATATGTCCTATGTATTACAAATTTTATGTAATAATTATTATTTTCTTTTCATTATAAATACAAAAAACTTAAAAATAATTAATAACGGCTTATAAATATAAGATTTGAGACTAAATTAAATTATAAATACTTATTAACTATTTTGTTTTTTCGAAATAAATAATAACAGTTATAGTATCAGTTTTTTTTTAAATATTATTTGCATTGTATTACATATAGCTGTGTATAAAAGAGTAATAATAATAGTTATTATTTTTTAAACGTAAAGTTAATTCGTAATAAAGAAAAATAACAAGTAATAACAGTTAAAAATTATTAATTTCAATAGTGGAAACTTAATATAGTTATTATTTCTTTTTTAATCATTTACAATTTGTCAATGAGACAATTCAGCCAACTATAACAGCAACCGGAAAACTTTTATCACTACTTTTTACAGTATTAAAAGAAAAAAGTGGTCAATTGGGTCCCATAGTGGAATCTTCATTATTTAGACCAGAAAATGTGCATGTAGAAGCATCTAAATCTCGAAAATTAACGACAAGTTAGTATATTTTTGTTTATTATAATGCAATGATATAAAAAAATTTTGACATTTTTTTATTTTAAATCATTGTAAAATTGGGTTGAAAGAAGTTTTTTACCCAAATGTTGGACCTCAATCTCTACTTTTACTCGACTCTTGGAGTGGACATTGCGATAAAGCTGTAAGGTAAACGATGCCGACAAACAAAATTGTTAATATAAAAAAAATTCCCACAGGAACGACAGGGAACATCCAACCACTCGATGTTTATGGATTTCGTATCTGGAAAAACTTCGTTCGACGTTTATCAGATCACGTAATTTTGATGGACTATGAAATGAATCAATATTTAAGAAATATCATAAAAATGCAGTCTCTTGTCCATAACCAGCTTTCTTCACCAAGATATACAAATATTTTTAAATACGCTTGGTATAAAAGCGGTTACATTGCTGAAAAACCAGGTAAAACAGATAACCCTGTTGATTTTAGTTTTGGAGATTCTTGCAATATACGTTGCGAAGTAGAAACATGTAAAAATGTTGCCATAATACGGTGTGGTTGGTGTAAAAGATCATTATATTTCAAACACTTTTTCGATGATTATCATTTCTGTAAGGTAATTGTTGAATGATGCATTTTAATTTACCAATAAATAAAAAAAAGAAAAAGATGAAAATTATTATGAAAAATCAAAATATATGTAGTATCGCGTACGATGGCTCTTACGTAAATATATTTATGTATCTACATACGAATATAAATATATATGTTTAGATCTATAAATGATAATTAGACCTCGTGTTATTCTCGTGTTTATATTTAAGAGATATTTCTCGCCATTTTGGAACTATTAAAATAAAATGTATTAAACACATTTTTATTTATCAGAAATTATGAATGAGCAGAAACGTTAACAGTAAAGCCTCACGAATCTATTAGTTACTTACTGATACCTGCCGGACGTATAGTTCATGCGTAGCGTGTCTTTGTTTACAGTGCCTTTCTCGCGCTCGTCGGATTTTGATATTGTCAAAAATGACTGAGAAACAAGATGACCGAATTTGCATCAAATTTTGCTTTCAACTCGGAAAAACGAGTTCGGAATCTATTGAAATGAAGCAAAAGGCCTTCGGAAGCGAGTGTATGACCAAAACACGAATAAAAGAGTGGTATAAACGGTTCAAGGATGGTCGCACTTCTGTCGATAGTGATTCTTGTTCCAGCCGACCTTCGACGACAAACGCCGCAGATAATATTGAGCGGGTGCGACTTGCAATCGAACAAGATCGTCGTATGACTGTGCGAGAACTAGAAGAAGCCCTTGAGATACCAAAAATTATCATTTCAGAAATTTCAACGGTATATTTAGGAATGAAACGCGTGTGTGCGAAATTCATCCCAAAATTGCTCACAGCAGAGCTGAAGAACATTCGCTTAGAAATCGCTCTAGACAATCTGGAAATGGTCAATAATGATGATAACGTGCTTAGAAAAGTTATTACAAGTAATGAATCATGGGTTTATGGTTATGATCCTGATACAAAACAACAATCTTCACAGTGGAAGCATTCTGAATCGCCAAGACCAAAAAAAGCACGTAAAAGTCGGAGCAATGTTACGTCAATGCTGATTGTTTTTTGCGATTGTGAAGGTGTTATACATCACGAATATGCACCAACAGGTCAGACAATCGATAAAGAATACTACGTTCAAATTTTGAAACGTTTGCGTGATGCAGTAAGAAGAAAACGACCGCACTTTTGGAAAAGTGGTGAATGGCTTCTCCATCACGATATTGCGCCAGCGCATTCATCCAATCTTGTGCAGCAGTGTGTGAGCAAACACAATATCGCATTGCTTCGACAACCTCCATACAGTCCCGACATAGCCCCTTGTGACTTTTGGCTGTTTCCAAAACTAAAAAAAC